GGGCGCCTGTCGCTGTGCCGGCGCCGCGAGTGAGAGACACAGTTGGTGGCAGAAAAGGCGGCTGCGAGCGGCGCGCGCTGGAGATTGACAGGCAGGGCGTGGTGACGTCAGGCTCCCGGCTCCCGGTGCGAACCCAGCACTCACTCTCCTCGCCAACCCATCCTGCGCCCTCCCCGCCGCACTCCCCTTGCCCCCTATACTATCTGAGGGTCCTAGGACAAGCCAGAGCAGTCACCTCCAGTCCAGAACTTCCAGGAATGGGATGGGAGAGAGACAAAGAGAGGGAGAAAGGAGTGAAGAAGACCCTGAGACCAGGCGGCGAAGAGGGTGAGCTGGGAGAGGAGGGGTGAAGGATGAGTGGCACCTGCCGGGCAGCAAAGCCCAACCTCAAAGATCACCGAGGGATCAGATCAAAAAAGAAACCCCAGAGAAGGGGGAGGTTGGGACAGGGTGTTTGATGGGAAAGTAGCTACCTTTAAAAAAGAAACGCCGCTCCCAAAACAGGAATTATCTGGGAAAAGAAATTCACTTTTTATTTTATTTTATGTATGTATGTATGTATTGAGACAGAGTCTCACTCTGTCGCCCAGGCTGGAGTGTAGTGGCCCGATCTCGGCCCACTGCAACTTCTGCATCCTGGGTTCAAGCGATTCTCCTGCCTCAGCCTCCGGAGTAGCTGGAATTACAGGTGTGCGCCACCACGCCCAGCTAATTTTTGTAGAGATGGGGTTTCACCATGTTGGTCAGGCTGGGCTTTCCTGACCTCATGTGATCCACCTGCCTCGGCCTCCCAAAGTGCTGTTATTACAGGTGTGAGCCACCGCACCGGGCCTGAAATCCAGTTTTTAAAAAGGATGTTTGTGGTACATGCTCAGTTGAGTAGAGCCAGGGAAGAAATTCTGAGTTATGGGGAGCAGATAAAAGATGGATAAGAAGGGGACATCTGAGGAAAACAATCTCTTCTTTTGGAGGTTGCCTGTGCAGTTCCTCTCTTTGCCATTATCTTTCTTGAGCTCTACACAGCAGGTTTCACCGTGATCCTTTCTGCCCAGTGTTTCCCCATTTCGGTAGCTGATAGTACCCTTGGAACTTGCACTTTAATTAAAGACCAGGTCTGCATCTTGCTAGAGAAAAGGAAAACAGCAAAATGGGATTTACTTTCTTGGCTTCAGACTTTGCCCTGTTAATTAGTTCCCTATAAAACAAATTACAGGACGAAAATAGTGATAACTCAGCTGCACCAGACTTCAGTAGGCAGGAGTTTTATTTTCAGCCCAGATAAATCATCCTTTTGTTTTAAAGGTGTTTTGTTTTGTCAGTAAGATACGAGTATTAGTCTTCTTCTCCTTCTCTTTCTTCTTTCAGAATGTGCAATAGCTGTACTTGGGCAAGAGCTAAAATAGTTGATGCCATCTGAGGTTCTAAAATAGATGATTGCACATTGGTATGATGGCATTGCACGGAGGCCACAGCCATAATATTCAGGACCACACGGTATGGGAAAAGTGAAAATTGGCAACATTTGTTGCTAGTGCTCCCCCTACTTCTCCCTGTGGACCTTCTCCTCCTTTCACTTTGCCTCTACCTCCAAAGAAGGGAAAAAGATACTCAGACTGTCCATGTATTGGAGGATAAGTTTACCCTAGGTTGCTGCCTTTAAACATGACCCCCAAGTCCAGACTATTCCTGCCTCAATGCAGCCGAACTTAATTAAAAGAACAAAGGACATATGACAGTTCAATTATTTGGTGCAATAGCTGATGTTGGACATAAAGAGAGTTCACATACAATTTATCCATTTGGGGAGCTTAAAAAAATCCACACACCACTATTTTCTTGAACCCAAAACTTGGCTGAAGTTCTAAATTTCTGAAAGGAGCCATTTTGTGTTTCAGTACAAGATTGTCATCTAAGAGTCAAGAATGTTATTTCAGAGCTGTCAAGTGAACTGTCAAACCACTGTAATAGCATGTTAACTGAGGATTTTCCAAATGATCAGATAAAAGCCCAAGGGTAGGAGACTCCTCCTTAATGTCTAAGTATGTTCCATTTTCACATGCCACAGTATAGCAGAAAGTACGAGGTTAAAATTGAACCTACCACAGGATCTCTGAATATCCTTAGGCTTCAACATTACCAACAATGGATTTCTCAGTGATTTCCAGAGGAAGACAACACATGTAGAATCATGCACATAAATGCTGGTTGAGGATTTGTAGACTGACTTTGAGTGATGCCAATTTGTGGTTACCTCTCTTAGATGCTAGACTAGGTCCTGTGTGGACAGGGCATGTTCTTTCAAGCCCCTCCTTTTCTCTCCCATATCCACCCATATTTGGAAGGTAGAAGATGGGAAAGCAAAATGTGTCTGTTTCATCAGTTATGCATGGAAATTAGATGGACTTCTTTACTTGCCTTGCCTATAGCTACTATATAAGCACCTGCCCTTCCAATGGTCTCCTAAAGTGTTCAGCCTGTGAACCACAAGACATTTTCCACACATACCCTAGTTTATGGGAGGAGATTGACACCTTGCCTGAAGCTAGATAAGATCAGCTGTCCTTTGCTGGACTAGTGACCAGATCCTTTTCTGCTGAAAATTTGAACTAAGAAACACTTTAACAATGGTGAGTCAGTGTTGGGCTCTGGACATGAAAGATAGTGATAAATTAGAGCTGAATCACTTGTATGTTGGACCTTGTGTAAAGTGTTTAATCAGAGAAAGCCAACTGCACTGGAAGAAGGAAGCAGATGTGTGAAGAGGAACAGAGATGAAGGAGATCAAATGACCGAGAGGTGAAAGGAGTGACCTCAGTCCCTGAGTGTCTGGTTCCTGGCTCTGGAAGCCCAAATCCTTGATGCTTTGAAATTACCTTTTGGGTCTCTACCACAAACCTTCCTAATCTTCAGCTACCTTAAGTGGGTTTCTATTCTGTGAATCCTTGATAGTTGACTGAAACATACAACCAAATGTACTATTCATCCACCAGCTTGTCTAGTTTTGTTTATATTTTGGGATCTTCAGAGTTTGGCTTCTGATTGGTAGTCACAGATTAAATTCATTGTTGCCAACCCTTTGACCAACTCATCACAGGCTGAGGTGTCTTGTTTCTTTCTATTCTGGCACTTAAGCATAAACATGAGGAAACTTTTCTTGTCTGAGGCTAAACCCAGGAATCACAACCTTTCAACCACAATCTTTCTTTCTCTAGTTTCCTTTGGTACCTCATTCCCATCTCAGCCTAAGCCATCAGTTCTCAATCCTGGCTGCATATTAGAATTATATAGAAAGGTTTTTAAAACTACCCATCTTTGGATCCCTCACCCAGAAATTCTGATTCATTTTGTCTGGAGTGGGTATTTTCTAAAGACTCTAAAGAAAACTCAGGGTTGAGAACACTCATCTAAACAATCACTTTGTCAGTTTAGTGTGTAGTGAAACTCCTGAAACAGTGGATATCTTTTTGGAATAGTTGCAATAAAGAAATTTCAGTGAGAATCCAGCTGTAAGTCATTCAGTGTAATTTCAGGTTTAACACATTGACTACATCTCCTCTTCGGACCTTTAATTTTCCATACACACACAGAACCTCCTTCCTCTCTCAAGATAAAGGCTGGCACTTGGTTCTCTCTTGGCCCTGATGAATTCAATAGTCCCATCAGGGAGCACTAAACTCTGGCTCTGGTTCAGGTTGCCCCGAACCCTTTATTCTGCTGTAGGTTTCAAGATACCTCAGCATTTGCCCCCTTGCTCTGTGCTGATCTCACAGCTGCCTCCCAGGTGTGCCCTCTCCTGGCTCAAGTCCTTGCAAATCAATTCTGTTTTATAATATCAGGACTGCAGCCAGCCAAGCTGTCCAGAACCTTATAAAATGACATTGGAAAGACCCACACTGGAAAGAAATTGTGGTCTCTCTGTCTCTCTCTTTCTCTCTCTCTGGGCATCTGCGTACTCATACACACACACACACACACACACACACACACACACACACACTCCCTGTTCTTGATTCTTGGAGATAAGCAGTATAGTGTTCAACTGGGAAGTGT